GAATAAGAAGAAAAAGTTGTACTGGCGAAGAGCTGGTAGTAACGGTTCAGTTTCTTTTCCTTTTCGATAGTTTATAGATATGAAAAAAGTTTTGACAAAAAAATAAAGATTACTTTCTTTGAAAAACGCTGCAATCTGCGCTACTTAAGGATTACCTGGCAAGACTTTTTTGTTTCCTTCCTGTTTTCTTCTCATGAGTTTTAATCAATTGACTGTGCGACTTTTTTTGTAACTTACTCGCCTCTGCGGGACATATCGGTTTGTTCAAAATGTGTTCGGTAGAACTGTGAAGTTGGCTTCATCGTTCTGGCTAAAAAATAAGTGCCGGAATGAAAATAAACTTATATTAAAAAAAAAATAAAAATAAAAAGACGCGAACCTTAAATTGCTTAATCTCAGTAAGTTCCATACATTCCTTAGCAAGTTTTCTTCTTCTCAGTTTCTTTTTACTAATTATTCACTTCATTTCTGGTCGTGAAACCATAAAATATAAAAAAAATTCTTATTTTGCTGTTGCTTTTTAATTCGTTTATCGTTCGGTTTTAAGCTGGAATACTGCAAAAGTCTGATGGCGAGCGAACGAATACTATATGAAATCGATACAGCTGCAACACAGTTTTAATTTACAGTAAAAAAAATCTTTTTTTACAGATAATTTTATTCGAATTATAGTTTTTAAAATATTAGTGCAGGAAAAAAGTCATAAAAACTGTTCTCAAGTGACTGATTGTCGGATCTAATTTACAGTAAGGTTGATACGATATTATCTAGCTGAGTTATAAATCTTTGGCTAGTAGTAATGTCAGTTAAATTTCAGATTATAGAACTTAAACAGATCTGTTTACATAACCCACGTTTTATGATTTATAGCGGAAGAAAACTTTTAGCAGAAAGTGGTGCAAATTAAACAATATAAAACCTTAAATTTAGTTCTTCTGCCACACCTTTTTTTTTTACTCATAACTATTAATACCACCAGAGAAAACAAAGTGTTTAATGAAAAAAGTTTTTTTAATAAAAGCAAAAACCCTTAAAACTAATAGCTGTATCTGAAAGAAACCGTGTTACAGTTGTGATCACTGATGCATATGACGTTAACGATGTTTCAAACCGATAATTCAACGATATCTAACAGTCAACCTCAGAAATTGCTTCCTTTCACTTTTGTTTGAGATCTACAAATCACACTTATAGCTTTGATTAAGGCTGACCGAGAGATGAAAACAGAAAAAGTCTTTAGCAGTCATAATTAAGCAACTGCTTTACCGGTGTAACTGTCGTTAAAGTTTTCTGTACTAATTATAGGTTTACACGCCGACAGTATGTTTAAAGAAAGTGAAAAATTATATAAACGTGAAAATTTTTCATACTTTCTTTTTATTTTTTT